ACATATTTACTGCTATTATTTGTCCATATTTGTTTTAACGTATACAGTTCAAAATCTAATTTTTTAATTTTTCAAAAAAACTTACAAGGCGAGAAAATCCCGTCGAAATAAATTTCGACCAATTTTTTAAAACTACATAACTCTACAACATAAATGAATTGCTATATTGTTTATTAGAAACTTGAGTTCATCAAATAAAAAATATGTTGCAGTAGAGTAACTTTAACGCATGTTTTATATCACGTTTCTAGAAATTTCTCGTAAAATACGTCAACGTATGTTTTTCATTTCCGGCTGTCTGTCACACGAATGCTATGTGCGCTATGACTGTCTGTTATCTATTGGTACCTAGTTTAAATTGTGAAATACATATATGATATTTCATTTATTTTTATTTATTTATATTTATAAAGTTTCAAATTAATCGATAGATCCAAAAAAAAACATAACATTGCTGCTCACAATCCAAAAATATACGAAAAAAAGGAGGTTATTTTCAGTGTACTATACTTATACCTTAAAACAAATTTTAAAATTTGATGTTCATTACTTAACGAGCGTAAACTAGGGAAGTATTGTAATAGAGACCATTTAAACAATAGCATCTATTAATTTCATGTAGTCCCGACGTTGGATACATTCTAAAATATAAAAAAGTAGGTGTCCCGTTTCTATTGACGACTTTAGTAGACAGATAATCAGGTCGAAAATGCTGGACTGCTTGAGCTAAAATTTTAGGCGTGTTTTAAGATTATCCAGATCTTCATCTTTATCAAGACCTGATAACGTCATCCCAAAATTTGATAATCCATATTTTTAATAATGCCTACAATATGGATTACCGTAAGAAATAAAATCCGTGGAAACAAATTTATCCTAGAATCTACAAAATGAAATTCTGGCAAGATATTTACATTGTTTTAATGATTGCAACGATAAACAACGACAAAACTTATTTATATTACATCCCCTCTAGAAAGTTAATGAGATGTTCTAGAAAATTAATTCATGGAATAAATGAAATATTTATTAATTTGTGTGAGAAAAAATTCTGGTTTTCTGATTAGGTTACTGAGAGTCATACAAGCATTGTATAAACCCTGTAACGAAGCGAATTTTCGCGGGCTGGAAACCATGACGCGTACCACGAGAGCCGGGGGTAAAGCCGCGATCGCCGCGCCGCCGCGGTGGAAGAGGACTCTGCCTTGAAACCTTAAAGGATCTGGAAGTGGTGTGGCCTGTTTCCATACAAAGTAAAAGTAAAAGTTGAACTGCAGTTGACCTTCCGACCACCGCCGTACCGTCCTCGCACGATTTTCAGTTTCAAGGTCGCCACCCCCAGGTCCAGGAGGAGCCCGTCCTGAAGGAAGTCACCGTTGAGGAGGGAACGATCGTGCTGGACGTCTTATTCTTTTTTTTTCTGGCAATTCGTTTGTAATTATTTATTGTAAGATTAGCCGTAAATTTTATTATCTTAGCCGTGTAGCTGATGGCAGGGAATAAACCCGATTTATTGTGTAAAGTATTTCTTGCCATTTTATTTTATTTTCTTATTCTCGCGGGTTCTCACCACCTGAAACCCGTGTCTCTGGCTTGAGGGCAAGCCCGGCGCTCCCTTAACCGGAGAGGGAGCTGGCGCCCGAACGACTGTCGTTCCTGACCGAAGGCGCCACCCCGGTGGCGTGAAGTTTGCCACCACACGTTATCGGCGAGATTCCAGACCGTCCGTCACACCGGAATTTCGTGGCAACCCCTCAAATCAATTTTTTGAAGTGATCCTTACAAATTAAATTAAAATAAAATAAAATAAAGAAACTCTTCAAGTGAAATTTATTTAATAATAATTTGAGAAAAATAGAAACAGTACAATTTAAAGCAAATAATAATATGACAAATAAATGCTTTAGTATATATGAGTTATCCTTTTTTAAATTGATTGAGGTAGATTAATTATTATTGTATATTTTGCATATTTTGACGCCCCATTGCATATTTATGCATGTGTATGTTTTAATTTGTCAGTTAAAAAAATAGAAACTACATCTTTTCCTAAAATACTCCGTAAAATCCGAAGTTAGGTCTGCTATTGGTATAGTCAGCACTTCTTACAGGTTGCTGTAAATGGTTATTTCTAGTATTAAAGGAATTGTAAAAAACCAATTTATATATTTTGCAGTAGACGAAACTTCTGATGCTTACGGGCGTTACATTGCCAATCTACTCGTAGTTATTTAAGTCATAAAGGGTCTAGTAAATCTTATCTAATTGCATGCAAATTTTAAATATTAAACACAACGTATCAACCTATTACCTTACTTTACATATCATTCGAATTCTCATGCATCTAGTGAACCAAGCATATGTTTAAACTTCACACCCTCCCTCATCCAAGGTAAGTTCAGCTTCCACCTAACACCTAGTAAATATTCCGCCACGCGATTGCCACTAAATAAATGTTAGGAAAAGCGTTGCGACCATCGACAGTCTGTGTTTAACAACTAATCGTCAGGTCGGTCACGTGTCGTCGCGACACTAAAGCCACTGTCGAAGCAACTCCTGAATTATGCATTCAAGATGTGAACAATTTTACACCGACGTACACTTTGGACGGCCGGTAAGGTCTGAAAATGATGAATGCATCGAGGAGCCGCCCCTATTGTCTCCATTTACGCCGACGATTTTATAGTCTTTAGGGGAATTAAGTGTGAGAATAGGTAAGTCGTTGCAACAAGTTTTTACAGTTGCAGACCGGGAAGGAGAGTTTATATTTTCGGTATTACACTTCCCAGGAGCAGATGCTGTAATCAATGGAGCGTTGAAAGTTCCCTAGTGACTATGGAAAAGTTAAGGAAACTGCCGTTAATATTCTTATGGTCCATTACGTTTATGATATTAAGAATTAGTTTGTGTTATAGAGCCAAATAGGCGTCGTAATTTTTAAATGACGCCGTGATGGTAACTAATGAGGATCATTTAGGAGGAGCATCTCTGCTAGCCGTTACGTTAATTTTTAAGGTATTACAGTGAATGACAGCAGGCATGAAATTGGAGCTTTCGAACCGCAGAGAATATTTACTCTAAATGAACTTCTTCCAGCTACCTTAATGCACTAAAGTCAAGCAATTAGTTACGGAAATGTTTTATACTTATTCCAAATTACCTTTATAAAACCTTAGAAAACCAGTTCTCTATTTTTGATTTGGTTCATATTTTAACAATAATAATAATAATAACATTAATAATAATCATAAACAGATTTTTATTTATCCTTTCGTCATAACCATAAAAATTTAATAGATTGACAACAATCATTAATACTCGAGGGACTATTGCGCTTCCAATCTGCTAACAAGGAAGCAGAAGACTTCCTGAAACAATGACCAGTATATTCCTTTAGTTTCAAAAAACTAACAAAATACATTATTTATGTTCGCTTAACTTGAATCCTATGGAACGTTTTAATTACAATTTCCTGCAACTTTAATAAGATTAAGTTGGCTATAAAACAACACACCGAACTATAAATTAGACAAACGTTTTAAAACATTCATTATAATAACAAAAAATCGCTTGAATTTTCTTATTGCAGCTGTTCACACTGCACACTGTGTCAACAGATACTAACTAATTCAGGTAATATATTGTGTAAAGGGGATATCTGTTTACCTACGTTGCTTACTGATATTCGCTCAGCACACTAAAAGTGTAAACTTAAAAAATCTTCCATTTACCTACGTTACTTTTAAAATATAAGCGCGCACAATTTAAACTTCCAAACTGCGAAAATATTCCCCCAACTTAAATTGGTTAACTTCTTTAATTACCCTGATGTCAATATATCAAAATTGCAAGTGAAGCAAATGCAGGGTGTTTCAAACATTCACCACCCCAGTAGCATTAAACCACCCCCAACGATCTTATTTAATCCACATTTAAATACATAAAACAAATAGATACCTGTAAGTCAATACTCCGCCAAACAAGATCAAAGAAGCTGCTACTCATTAACCCAATGCATGTTTCGCCCTTAGAAAGTCAATAACCCTCTTTAACTTACGAAAGCCTCGTTTTAAACCTGTGCCGACTTCGACTTAATAACACTTCAAATAAGTTAGGGCGTTTTTTATGGCTGAACTGATGTCAATTTCTTGGTCAAAGCAACCATTGTTTAACTTTCTTAATTAAAGCTAAAAAATGGTTGAACAAGCACGAAGAGATATGACAGTTTCAGGACGCCCCATCCCTTTAACTCTTAATGTTAAAACGAAAGAATCCATAGCTTCCGTTTCGACTGTTCTCCAGAATTTCAGCAACCCCAACTCTTCCGTTTCCGTTGTGAAACTTTCCCAGAAACTGTCACCCGCAGTGCTTCCCAGCCACTGCTCAGTTTCGCATTCCAAATCCGCAGGCCCGTGCCGCCATCTGCCGACAGAATTATAATTAATACAACTGTTTGTCGTGTTTCATAATGCAGAAAGTACACACATTTACTTTAGTACCCGTTCCGACAGTTATTTGTTTATGCAACTAAATGTTTTCTGTTCAAAACACTGAGAATCTCCAAACCTAAAAATATAAAAATAGTTTTGTCATTTCTCAAATTCCTATTTTTTTAACATTATGAATAGACAGTCAGTAAAATTTGTGATATGTACAGTGTACTCTCTCTTAACGGACACTCCTCATAAGCGGACACCCCTTTTGTACGTACGATTTTTCTGCGACCGGCCAACGCATAGGCATTTCTTAATAAATGTTGTTCTCTTAAGCGGACCCCCTTGTAACCGGACACGGACAGTGCTTTCAAAACAAATTTTCGAACGCAATCTCTGTTGTACGGACAATACTTGGCGACGAAACGCCGAAACAGCGTCAATAATGTGATATGGATGCATGTGGAAAATTTTTGCTGCACTTTACCCGTTTCATGGTATTCTAACCAAAAATCTTGGATGACATCCGACATAATGAGTGACTATCTGCAGAAATTTGATAGAAAAATGGCTTCTCAAATACGGAAGATTCTTCTTTTTCTGGACAATGCGGCATCGCACCCCAAAAACTTAAAATTAAAAAATATCAAAATAATTTTTCTGCCACCAAATACTACGTCGGTGTGCCAACCCCTAGACCAAGGGATTATTAAAAATTTCAAAATTTGGTATAGATCCATGATTGTGAAACATGTTCTGGCTAGAATGGATGAAGCCACTTCTTTAGAAGATCTGATTAAAAAAATCAACTTGTTGGATGTAATATACTTTATTCAAAAAGCATGGGAGAAGGTGACTCCTGCGACAATAACAAATAGCTTTCAAAAAGCGGGATTTAGATTCAGGAATGACACTTTTGAAAAATCCATAGATGATGCTTTTGAACACGACGATGATATTCCCTTAGCAGTGATTGCAGAAATGACTCGAGTAATGAAACGGATCAGCAGCAATGTTGGCTTTGATGATTTTGTTAATTTTGATAATGATTTATGCATTAACGATGAAAGATTGAAGATAGACGAGCCAAGTGATGTCGAGATAGAAGAAAATGAGGAAGAAGAAGGCGAGGCAACGACAGAATACATGGAAAATGTCTCATCTGGATTCATGAAAACGAATAGGGAAGCTATAGAAGGTGTGCAAAAGCTAAAACATTTTTGTGCGAATAAAAACGACATGAAGGGATTTCAAATTTGCTGTGACTTGATGTTACATTTTGAAAGTGTTTCATTAAATCAGTCCAATTTGAAGCAGACAACCTTACAAGATTATTTCAATCAGGTTTAAAATTTAATATTTCATGTATTATTGTCAATTCTTATTATTATTATTATTCTACCTTAAATAAAACTGTATTAAATAAAAAATCTGTTCATTCCTCAAGAACGGACACTCCTGTTAAGCGGACAAATTCTTTAGACGGACACCCCTGTTGACCGGACAAATTCTGTGCGACCGACGGTGTCCGCACAAGAGAGAGTACACTGTATATAATAAAACTGACGAAAACATGTTTACTTAGTCATTGTTATTTATTCTAAAAGCGAATTATGTAGAACTGAATCGGTTACCGAACAATTATGCAGAAATGTATGCACATACGGTTCATGGACCGTCGTAAAGAATGAGCTGTCGCGTCGCTCCGAGGTAGATATTAATAGCGTTTTAGCTGAATTGAAAATTAAGTCTTTTGTATGGTACACGTATTTCATTTGCGTAGATTGAAACTGAATTATTTATAAATTAAATCATAAATGTGGAAATCATTTTTGTGTTTTCAGTATTAATAACCCAAGGGCAGTAATAAAGTAACGAAATAATGTAATCACAGTTGTCGAAAGTACGTTGCTTGGTAACACCCTGAAACATAGCGCCGGGAGGATGTTATCAAAGAAATGTTCTTGAGGAAGTTATTTTATTATAATGTGCAAAGGCTATTTACTTAAAAAAAAAAATTATTTTGACAGAGTACTTTATAAAAATACACGGAATTTTATCTGCACTGAGTTGTAACGTTGAGCAATTCAAAAAACTTGTTATATTACTCGTTTCTCAAACAGCCCGATCATGTTGAGCAAGATCTCTGGATCAGTGGGTCTCATATAGAAGAGATATTTACATATTTGGTAGCGAAAACAAAACACTGAAAAACGACCAAAATTGAACTGTCAGTGTCTTTTTTTCCATAAACGTCGTAATTTATAGGGTTCTAGGAAATTATCAAAAATGAAGAATAACAAATACTCCAATAAACTATCAGTAATTTAATGGATATCTAAAGAATAGTACTAATACATGATTCGGTCAGGAATTGCAAAGGTATATATTTTTAACTATGAATTATTACTTTTATTATTATTTAGATGCACCATTAACCTAGAAATGACCGGCATTCAGCCAAAACTTCTATCATTATGGGTTAAGACCCATGATATGCACTAATCAGATGATGATGATGATTATTATTATTATTAGGACCTACCAGTGATCCGGAAATGACCGACATTCAGGAAATACTTCATTACGGGTACTAAAACCAAGTAACCATGCATTGATCAGATTATTAAAAAACTTTGAGATCCTAGAATAACAGCAAACAAATTCGTCTGCTATTATTCTCTAATTTCACCCCATCACCAAAAGCCTAGCGTAACTACCGATCCGCGCATCACTTGAAATGTAAAGTACACTACTCTGACCTACCGGTGCTAACCTATTCTGTCTGTTCCTAAAAAACAAGTTTTTGCATTTTGACAATTATTGAATCATTTAAGTGTAAATATTTCAAATTCTCAACTAAACTAACTATTTGCTACTATACCTACATTGGAGATAACTAAAGGTAGAATTGAAATTTTCTCAAGATTTAGCATTACCTTCATTTCTATTGAGAATAGTAGATACTTTGAAATTTTGGTGTGGTATGTTTCTTATATTCAGATCTTTGATTATATACATATTTTCTTTAATTCTTGATATTAATTACTTGGCTTGAATAGCAAACAAAAACCCTTCTGTTTCGGCATATAAACTTGATTTTTTGACCCAAATCGATGACATTTTCTTGTTGGTGTTGTTTTAGTTTCAGCCCATTTATTATGTTGTCTAGATTGTGGGGTGTGGGGATTTCTTCTGTATTGGAGAGATTTAAGGGTGTGAGATTCACGTCTACCCTTGCTATGGCGAGAAACAGTTCGTTTCTTTCTGTGAGTCTCAGGAAATATATCTTCAATTCGGAAACTTGTCCATTGTATAAATTTTCTAACTTCTGAAATCTTCTTCCCCCGTTCTGTCTTGCTAATGAAAAACTTTCAGTTGATGACGTGGGATGATGGTTTCTATATTGCTTGAATGATTTTCTTATTGAGATGTTTAAATTTTCCAATTAAGTTTTTGACCATTTAATTATTGAAATTCTTTCTTCAGAACCACTAAGAATGAATGATCAAAACGGAATAGGGGTGGGTGGGGAGGGCCACTTTTTACTTTGTTTTAAATCTTTGATTCTACCGCTTGTCAAAATAGAATTCAATTCCCACTATATAGTACATAATATAAATCAGTGAAATAGAGAAAAAGAGTGGGCGGAACTGAGTTTAGCTTTTTTCTTAATAGTCTACTAAGCAAGTAGTAGCTCCACCCACTGACACTCTGTTCATTCCAATGCCTACTGTTATTATTGTGTAGTCTTACCTTAGCAAACACTAGCCCCGCCCACCCGCCCTCTATTTTCTTAGAGACTATATGATTTGCCAAAATTAGTCTTACCTTGGCATATACTACATTTTGCCTTTTTGTTTTAATATATGTAGACTTCTTTTGACAACACGGAACTTAAAATATGTCTAAAATGGATAATTTGTGTAAGGAAATATCAATTTTGCAATTAGGCTCCGTCCTATAATTGCAAAATCCATATTTCTTTGCAAAAATGTACCATTTTAAAAATCTTTTATGTTTCTTTTTTTAAAAAGATGACTATGTATATTAAGAAAAAAATGCCAAATATATGCCCCGCCCATCCGCCCTATCTCAACTGTCATGATTTTTTTTTATTCGTCGTGAACCGAAGAGGCAGAGCTTAACTGCAAAATCCTTATTTCTCTACGAGAAATTAAAAACATGTTTTTGACGGTCTAGGACAATTCGGCGCGGCCGACTTGGCGCGAGACATTTTGGCGCAGGGACACTTTGGCGCAGGGACACTTTGGCGCAAGCCATCTTGGCGCGAGCCATCTTGGCGCGAATGAACTTGCACCAAGAAAAATAGATATAAATATACAAAAATTGCACCCGTTGTTAGCATAACCTAATTTTTATAGCCTCAAACGCGGGGAGGGGTAATGTCGACTTTTTAATGGACACACGGGCGCTTCGCGCCCTGCACCCCATTATAAACATACTCCTAAACGTGGAACTTCTTGCTCCGTAGATCATTTAGTTATTGGAATTTGTGCGAATGAAAATATGTATTTGGTTGCCTACACTTAGCATAAATAACAGGGTGCCAACCAAAGTACGAACAATAAATATTTTTTATATTATATACCGACGTACTCGCGCCAAGATGGCTCGCGCCAAGATGGCTTGCGCCAAAGTGTCCCTGCGCCAAGTTGGCTTTGCGCCAAAATGGCTCGCGCCAAGTCGGCCGCGCCAAGTTGGCCGCGCCAAGTCGGCCGCGCCAAATAGTCCCATTCCGTGTTTTTGAGTATCGTGTTGTTCAAAGAATAATACGTATCTTAAGAAAAATGATCCCAAAGATTAGGCCCCACTCATACCTCCCCCAATTTCAATTCTCAGTCGTGATGAATTTTTTATTCGTTGTCAGATCAAGGAGCGGGGCTTAGTTGCAAGATCCACATTTGTCTAGAAGAATTTACCATTTTAAACATGTTTTAAGTTTATTGTTCTAAATAGACGACTACGTATATCAAGAAAAAAGGCCAAATATATGGCCCGCCCACCCGCCCTATCTCAGTTGTGATGATTTTTTCTCAATCGTCGAGAGCCAAAGAGCGGAATTTAATTGCAAAATTCTTATTATTTCTCTACAAGAGATTACCATGTCAGACATGTTTTTGAGTTTCGTCTTATTCAAAGAATACTATGTACATATATTAAGAAAAAGTAAAAGCCAAAGATTAAGCCCCACCCATACCTGCCCTGATCTAAACAGTAATGAAGTTTTCATTCGTTGGCATACCTAGGGGAGGAGCCTAATTGCAAAATTCATATTTCCTTACAAAAATTTACCATTTTAAACGTGTTTTAAGTTTCTAAGAATAAAAAAAATCATCACAATTGAGATGGGGTGGGTGGGCGGGGTTTATATTTTGCCTTTTTTTCTTAAGGTGCATCGTATTCTTTGAACAACACGATACTCAAAAAACGTGTTTTTAATTTCTTGTAAAGACATAAGTATATTGCAGTTAAGCTCCGCCCGCCCCCTTGGTTCACAGTGAATAAAAAAAAATCATCACAATTGAGATAGGGCGGGTGGGCGGGGCTTATATTTTGCTTTCTTGTTTCTTAATATACATAGCCATTTTTTCACAATATGAAACTTAAAATATGTTTAAAATGGAAAATTTTGCAATAGGCTCCGCCCCATAATGTTGGCAATGTTGTGAAAAGATGACGATGTATGTTAAGAAAAAACAAGGCAAAATATAAGCTCCGCCCACCCACCCTATCTCAATTGTGATAATTTTTTTTTTATTTGTCGTGAGCCAAGCAGGCGGAGCTTAACTGCGAAATCCTTATTTCTCTACGAGGAACTAAAGACATGTTTTTCAGTGTCGTGTTGTTCAAAAAATATTGGGTATATTAAGAAAAATAAAGCCAAAGATTATGCCCCACCCATACCTGGCCTGATCTAAATAGTAATGAAGTTTTCATTCGTTGGCAGACCTAGGGGTGGTACCTAATTGCAAAATCCATATTTCCTTACAAAAATTTGCCATTTTAACCATATTCTAAGTTTCTTGTTGTGAAAAGATGGCTATGTAATATATGTATTAAGAAAAACAAAGGCCACATATAAGCCCCGCCCACCCGCCCTATCTCAATTCTGATGATTTTTTTTATTTGTCGTAAGTCGATGGGCGGAGCTTAATTGTAAAATCCTTATTTTTCTACGAGAAATTAGCATTTGAAATATGTTCTTATGTAATCGCGTTATACAAAGAAATCTAAATGTATTAATTTAAAAAGGAAACCAAAAAAGAATCCCCATCCGTCCGTCTCAATCTCAATTGTGGTGAAATTTTCATTCGTTGTCAGGCCGAGGGGCGGAGCGTAATTGGAAAATTGATATTTCCCTATACAAATTTACCACTTAAGCATGTTTTCAGTTTATTGTTGTGAAAAGATGACTACACGTAGACAGGCAAAATGTAAAACTTACCCACCCGCCCTATCTCAATTGCGATGATTGTTTTATTCGACGTCAGCCAAGGGGGCGTAGCTTAATTGCAATATCCTTATTTCTCTACAAAAAATAAAAAACATGTTTTTGCGTATCGAGTTGTTCAAAGAATACTATGTATATTAAGAAAAAAACAAGCCAAAAAGTTGGTCATCTCGAACGTTAGCGGCAAGTTTATAAATCGACCTTAAATC